TTCAGATTAAGTTGCATTTTGAAACCAGCTATTACATATTGACACATGATACTTCTCTCTCTCTCTCTCTCTCTCTCCCCCCCCCCCCCCCACAAGCAATCAGAGGTCGCAGTGATATTTTAGTTTGTATGCTGTTTTTATAGCATACTGTTTATATGTGTGTGCCTGTGTGTGTGTATGTGTTTCTATTTTCTCGGCACGGTTTGCAAAGCCACATGACCGAACCAAGAATTTGGCCTTTTTTTTTCTCATGAGGGGATTAAAGACAGGGGGAGTGGAGGTGGAACCTGAGCTTCAATTAGAAGATCAAGTTCTCAGGGTTGAGTGGGAAGAGTCCCAGCTGCACCCAGGATGAAAAAAGGATCCAGTCTCCTATTGTCTCATTACAAACTCACAGGCTCTCCACAGCACCAAAAATGTTCTCCTCTGTGACAAGGAAGAGCCCGCTGTCTTCTCAGCCTGATGGAGTGAACGAAGAAGCGCTGAGCAACTACAGCTGCAGAGTCCACTCAGCCCTAGAGAAAGAAGAGAGCCATGTTTCTAGCAATTGCACCTCCGACACTTCTAGCTCTTACCGTTCAGCGCCGAGCTCAGAAGAGGCCGAGAGTTTCAAAGACTGTATTGAATACTTGGAAGAAGCTGAAGGCGACCGTATCGTGCAATGCACTTACTGTGACGCGGAATACGAACAAGCAATGTTGATCCTCTCTGCAGATCAGACAAAACTTGCTCGCCAAAGCAGAATCTCCACAGCTCCTGCCAGACAACCCCACAGGACTTTGAATGGTTTCAACAACTCTTACCAAGGACAAAGGAATAGTTCTTCTGCAACTTCTGGAGACATCCAAGTTCATTTCCCCCCAAATAAGAGCAAGACTTTAGGAGGCTCAATGCCAGTCCAAGGGGTGAGAGTGCCCAGCCTGCAAGCAGACCTCCCCAGTGCTATAAAAGATCAAAACTGGAGAGACAAACTCTGTTCCAATGGTAAGGCAAGCCAACAGGTTCAGACGTCAATCAAAGCTAATAATAGCTCAGACCCAGTATGCAGTAGCGGAATGGGTCTAGTCACACCAAGGCTGCAGTCAGGAGACAGCAGCGGATCTAAATACTTGGATCATCCTGCACAATTCAGTGCTGATAAATCCAAGGAAATGTTGCCCGGTGCTCGCAAGCTGAAGAAGAGCAGCCTTGGCAGTCGACCTCATGGTCCTGTAAGTAGCAAATCGGCATGCCCCAGATATTTTGTGGGAAATTCAAGTGTTTTGAGTGACTCCGACGAGGCTGATAATGAAGTGGAGAAGCTCACCGCTGGGTCTTTCCGGAGTCTCTCGTGTCCTCAAGGCAGTTACCTAGATATGTATAGTTCTAGTAATGGGACGTCATCCAGCCTGTCCAATTCCTTGCCAGATGATTGTAATGGACTGAACAGGTGGCCGGCGTGCAGTGATCAGAGGAAAACAAGGGTGGTTGGCCACAGCAAAGGAAACTGGCCATTCCCAACACCAGGCAAAGACCCAGAAACAGAACTGCTCAGCGGAGTCCTGGGGAAGGAATGCTTTGAGTGCGTTGATCTCAGACAAGAGAATGCAGATGGCAGAAAGAGCCTGTCTAAAAAGAGAATGGTGCCCAAACGCCAGATCCAGTTGAGACGGAAGGAGAAGAAGGAGACGGGCTTTTGTGCTCCTAGTGAGCCTGCATCCATGCAGTCATTCACACAGCCAGGGAAAGACCTGTCTGCAAAGGGGAGGAATATTAGTGATGAGTTTCGGATCAATTATAAACAGTTTCTAAAAGCGGCTTCTCTAGGCAACGCTTATACCAAAACTAAGCTTGCTTCCAATCTAGTGAAAAACGTCTTAGCTAAAAAATTGCAATATGAGCAAAGGATTAAAATGGAGCAAGCTTCCATCCAGGACAGTTCACCTTCCTCGGTCCCTTCCTCCATCAGTACGGATCTCCAGGGGGATAGCTTAGAAGGCAAGTCAAGTTCTTTGTCCAAATCTGATTGCAGTTTCTCAACCGAGGACGTGCAGAGCCATTCCACCAACAGCGAGCGGTCTGAACCTCTAGCTATCAGTGAGGGCAGCAGAAATGCCTTAAGGCCAACAAAGGGAGTTGTGCTTAATAAGCAGCTCAGGGAGAATGTCTACAAACTGAAGAATACGTTTAATGAGCTGAATGAGAGAATGAAGTACCAAGAAGACTCTCCATTGGACAGACTCCCTGTCTCGGCAGAAGGCGGGGTGAACGTGCTAGAATCGAGCAACATCAGAAAACAGGCCTTGGGGGAAAGGCAGGAATATTGGAGAGCCCGAGCCGTGTTTGAGGCCATGCAGGATGACCCCAAAACCTTGCCTCTGGTCCCCAAGTTTGCAAAGTCACAAAAACCATGGCCGAATCTGAAGCAGCGAGCTATCCAACAAAAGAAGGCCCTGCATTCAAAAGAAGATACCTTTCCTTTTAAACCTTCAAGCCTTGCGGTGCCCAAAGATACCTCTAGGAACACCTTCGTATCCAAAACTAAAGAAATGAAACTTGTCCCACAGATGAAGAATAAGCCCAGTGTTCCCAATGCCTTCAGGCACACCTCTTGGGACAGAGGTTTCGCCACCAAGAGGATGCCGATATTTCAGAGCATGAAGCTGTCCTCAATCATTGTTCCAGCTTCTGGCAAATTCCAGAACACTGGCAGATTCGATTGTCCTGAAGCATCTTTCACCGAGGGAACTACTCACATGCCAGACAAACGGGATGTAAGGACACATCAATCCAGAGATGTTCGAAAAATAGTGAATGAGACTTACAACCTTGGCTTTCAATCCACAGAAGATTCCAGTGCTGACCAGAGTTCTAGTGCAGAAAAAAGTGAAAATGGCTACTTAGTTGGGTTTCCAAAGGAACCTACTACCACCTCTCCTCTCTTCATACACTGCACCTCCATATGTAGGAAAGACTATATACCGGCAAGAAGTCACACACAGGAGAAAAAGCAAGATCACACTGAAGGCTTAGATATGTCAATGCTTTCTCTCCAGGAGGCCAGTACAAAGAAGTCCAGGGACCATTTTCCTCCCATGGTGTCAAACAAATGCTCAGCAATGGGTGAATCTGGGGTGCATATTACTACAATTCAGCCCAAGAAGTTAGCAGTCGAAAATAGAGAATTTCAGCCCCCCGTTGAAAAGAAGCCGGTACTTTGTGAGCGGAGTGAATTAAACATCACACCTGCTTCCGCCACCATCAAGAAAGAATCTCAGCTTAATATTCAAGTGAACAGTCCTATCTCCAAGCAGCCACACACAACAGCAATTGACCATTTCCCCTGGGTGGGTTATTCTGCAGTAGACGATAGGACGAACAAAGAAACCTGGCCTCAGTTTAATCACAGAGAAAATAAAGCTGTTGCTTCATCTGAGATCATTGTGATCCCACCATCGGCATACGTCCAAGAAATCTCAATGAGAGAAAATAATCGTTCAACTAAAAGTCGTAGGCTGGACTCTTGTAAAGCGCAAGAAGCTGAATTGCCCTATCAGAAACATCGATCCTGCGAAACCCTCACAGTGGGTCCCAAAGACGGTAAAGGTTATTCTGTCCTGTCAAAAGAAGAAAATATATTTTCTGAATCTCTGCCATCCTGTGAAAACTATAGGTACCCACAAGCTACCCGAGCTTCAGTCATAAATACTCCAAACTTGCAGATGCAAACTCCGACAAATAATCAATACGTTGATAGAATATATGAAACAACAGCATTGGAAGACAGAAAACCCTTAGACGGCCACCACATAAACTATTCAGAAAGTATAATTTCAGATAATCCATTAACAGCAAGAGAGTATATGGAGGGAATCAAGCTTGTGTCAAATTCGATGTTTACCCCAAAAACCTCTGGTGAAAAAGTCCATGACTCTGGATGTGATTATTTTAATAATAGCCATCAGGCAACAAATGAACAGTATTTTTCTACCACCCAAGCTGACAACGCAAATTACTTAACTATTCCTGTGAAAACACATCCATCCGAGCCAGACCCTAAGCAGTCGCCACCTTTGCACATGGATAACACTTCATTCACCTCCAACGTTTCTTTCCAGCCAGGAGTGGACCTATCTGGAAATAAAATGAGCAATGAATTTTTCCCACCAAAACAAATGGAGAGGAAAACTCCCTCTGATAATTTGTTATATAATGCCCCATGCCATGGTCAACTGCCCCTAAGACATGAAGAGTCCCCCAGTTTCCCAAGAAGAAATGAAAGAGTTTCACCGTTGGGTAAAAGTGCTCCAAGCCCAACAAGACATTTCGCTGCTCCTCTACAGGCACATCGAAAAATGCTGGTTGATCCCGAGAGTGGAAAATGCTATTATGTAGAATCCCCAAGACAACCTCAGTTGAAGATGCTTTATGACCCAGAGACGGGGCAATACATTGAAGTGTTAATACCACCAGCTTCTCTGCCATCACACAGTGGACTTTACCAACCGCCTTTTCCATCAATGATCATGAATCCGGGAAGTTATGGGCAACCTTACATGACATATTCTGGATGTCCGGGTTTTCCCCCTCCACCTGCACCACCTGGCCCTCTGGATCTCCAAGACCAAGCCCCTGTTCAAGAAAATGCAAACTTTAGTGATGATTTTAACCCTTTTGCAAAGCATGAAGCTCCTCCGGTTCCTGATGGCAACTATATGGAAAGTTTATATTATATTCCCACTGGGATGAATTCGAGTCCTAATCCTAGCCAAGTTTTATATTCTCCGTCTACAAGTTCTGGTCCTTTGCCTAGGATGTGACATGCAATGAAACAAAGAAACACTTCAGCCAAAAACTGGGTTGTTGTTTTTTCAGATCCTCCTTCTTCTCCTTCTTATAAACGTCAAGCCAAACCTCTTTGCCTGAATCTTGGAAAAGGATATGGCAGGAAAGTTGGCCGCCTTTTGTTCAGTTTATTAATTTGTTGGGTTCTGAAGGATTCAAGAGATAACATACTTCACTTCCTTGATAAATGTATTTTTATGGAAGCATCTCTGTCCATAATACGCCACATTCTGGTACTAAGTGAACCCAATGGGAGTTTTGGGAGGCTTTTCCGATGGAAGGACCAGGATCGGCCGACAAGGATCATTTACAAGTTCTCAGTTTGTATCTTGAGGTATGTCATAAAGTTCAGTATTCTAATGTTGATTCTGCTCCTGAGGAATCCAGTTGTTCACCACCTTTAACTCTTCTGTTGAAATGAAATGTTCATTCAGTCAATTTTACGAATATTATGGACAAATCACCAATAGTTACAGACATCGTTGTTTCTTACCAGTATTCCACTTTTGCCGTTAGAGTTGAGTCAATCAGTAAAGCTTTTGTTATGAGAACCGAAGACCATGTGGGTTGGACAACTTGAGAGAAGGCTGGGATCATCCCCTGAGCTTCATCTTTGCCAGAGCTCTGTATGAAAGGGACAGAGATCTTGTGACTTCAGCCTTGGTGAGTAGCACAACAGAAATGGTTAAAAAAAAGGGAGGATATTTGTGAGTTGATAGCAAAAGATATTGTGTGTGACATCACATGTGCAAGGACATCATCACACAAATGACAGGGTGTCATTTTTATGATGACATCACGATCCATGAAACTTCTTCATGGCTAGTACTGAAGGCCTATGTTACGAATGCCAAT